GCGTCTTGTCGCAGGGAGAGGCCTTCGTCGCTGAGGAGGGCCCCTGAGACCGCACCAGATCCCTCTGGGTCAGAGCTGGACGTCGAGGCCGCTGCAGACGAAGAAGCAGCGACACTGGCGGAGTCGGGGCCCCAGCCCTGCCTGCACATCTCCATTGCAGGCTCTGGCCTGGAGATGGCGCCAGGCCCTGTCGAGGGCGACCCCCGCCCAGAGCTGGTGCCCTTTGACAGTGACTCTGACGACGAGTCTTCCCCCAGCCCCTCCGGGACTCTGCAGAGCCAGGCCAGCCGGTCCACTATCTCCTCCAGCTTCGGCAGTGAGTGCCCAGCTTGGGGCGGGCAGGCAGGATGGACAGCCCAGAGGGGGTGAGGAGGAGGAGGGCCCAGCGTGGCAGAGGTGAGGAATCAAATCTCAGGATGTGAGCACACAGCTGTGGGGGGCAGCAAGGTGGACAGGGGCCATGACTCTGAGGGCAGAGACGATCAGGCAGGATCCTGAAGATGTTGGAGTACCCGGTTAAGGAAGATGGGGCACTGAATGGAGTGATTGGTCCCTCAAGGTGTGAGGAAAGGATCAGATGGGGCCAGACTAGGGTTAGAGACCCTCAGGAGGGGCCTGCCTGGGGGCTGCATTGAGAGGAGACCCACACCCGGAGAGATCGGGGCTCTGGCCTGGTGCAGGGGAATGGAGACAGATCTTTGTTTCCTTCAGATGAGGAGACCCCGAGCTCCAAGGAGGCCACGGCAGAGACCACCAGCTCCGAGGAGGAGCAAGAACCTGGCTTCCTGGCGCTGTCTGGCTCCTTCGGGCCTGGAGGTCCCTGTGGCTCCAGCCCAATGGACGGGCGGGCCCTTCGTCGCTCCAGCCGAGGCTCCTTCACCCGCGGCAGCCTGGAGGACCTGCTGAGCGTCGACCCCGAGGCCTACCAGAGCTCCGTGTGGCTGGGCACTGAGGATGGCTGGTAGGGATGGGGAGCGCCAGGGACACGGTGCCAGGGCCCCAAGCTCCTTGTCCCGGAAACCTGTGGTATCCTGAAGCAGGGGCAGGAGGCTTTGGGTCAGACCTCAGGGCTACTGATGCCCTGGGTGCGAGGGGTCTGAGAGCCACAGGGGGACAGGGTCTGGCATGGAAGAGAAGGTGGCGGATGCAGAGGTGGAGGGGTGACTCCCGGGACTGGTGTGGCCCGGCGTTGTCACAGGTGCACACCCTGATCCACAGTGTCCACGTGTACCAGTCCTCTGACAGCATCCGCGATCGCAGGAACAGCCTGAAGCTCCAGCACGCAGCCTCTGTGACCTGCATCCTGTAAGGCCCCGGGCGGCCCTTGTCCAGACCCTTCTCGGCCACACCTCCTGCTGTTTACCGGGGACCCCTGCCCTGCTGGCCCCTCCTTCCTATGGAAGCTGGAGGCCAGAGGGCTAGCTGTGCCTCTTACACACTGTGTGAGCTTGAGTGACTCGTTTCCTCTTCCTGGTCTCAGGCTCCCCCACCTGGAATGCTGGGGTGGGAGGAGGAGGTCTCTCAAAAATCATGACCACTCTCTGCACAATTGCCCTCGCCCCAGGTGACCTGATTTGGCCTCCCGGAATCTCTAACTCCGCTCTCTTTTCCTCGCCCAGGTATCTGAATAATCAGGTGTTTGTGTCTCTGGCCAATGGAGAACTCATGGTCTACCAAAGGGAAGCAGGTCAGTGCCCTCCTGCCCGCCCTGCCGGGCTCTCCTTGCTGGCGTTAGCGCTCTGTCTTGGACAGAGTGGGGGCCTCCAGGCCTCGAGTCTGGAGATGGGACTTTGGGCAACTCCCAGACCCTCTCTGGCCTCAGCGTCTTTGTTTATAAATGGGGATGTTCACGTCTCATGTCGGGGAGAGTGAGGCTAAAAGTTAGCACTGGACTGAATTTCCTGTTTTCTTCATCTCACTCCCACTTTAGGCCGCTTCTGGGACCCCCAGAACTTCAAATCGGTGACCCTGGGTGCTCAGGGGAGCCCCATCACCAAGATGGTGTCCGTGGGCGGGCGGCTTTGGTGTGGCTGTCAGAACCGAGTCCTGGTCCTGAGCCCCGACACGCTGCAGCTGGAGGTAGCATGGGGGGAGGGGGAGGGGGAGCTGGTTACTTAGGAGGAGCTGGGCCCACGTGAGCAGGAGATGAGACCAGGGTTGGGTAGGGGCATGTAAAGCATCAGCTGAGGAGTCTGGGCCAGTCCCACACCCTTCTCTGATCTTCATTTCCTCTCTAGCTGATGAGGAATACGGCCAGTGCTCAATCGCTAGGATCCTTATCTGTTCTCCAGCCCACCCTGTTGCTCAGCTCAGGCTTTGGAGCCGTTGAGGGACAGGATAAGGGCCCTTCCTGATGTCGCCATACGTTGGCTTAGTCCTGCTCTGTTTACATATGTGCCCAGGTTTCCAGCCTGCTGGTATCCAGGGGCGACAGGGTTCCTTCGGTTTCCCTCTCTTATTCCCTCCTTGGCTGGGCAGGCCACATCCCTGTGGCTGACTTGCTTCATGACCTTGGGCTAGTGACTTCCTTTTTAGGCTTCATCCTCCCCATCTGTCCAGGGAGAGGCCAGAGACTAGTCTCGAAACCTTTCACACACTCAGAAACAAAGGCTCCTTCATTTTAATGCGTGAGGATTCAGTGGGGGGAGCATAACCAAGCTTGAGAAGGTTAATTACCCAAACCAAGGACCAAGCCTGCCTTTGCTGTCAGTCTGGGTAGGCATGCTGGAGAGGGTTGGTGGGAGTTGGGGGGGGGGGCATGGACACTGGCAAAGCGCCAGGTGGAGAGGGCCTGCCAGTCACCTGTCTGCTCTCTGTCCTCCCCTCCCCCACAGCACACGTTTTACGTGGGGCAGGATTCAAGCCGAAGTGTGGCTTGCATGGTGGACTCCAGCCTGGGCGTGTGGGTGACCCTGAAAGGCAGTGCCCACGTGTGTCTCTACCATCCAGACACCTTTGAGCAGCTGGCCGAGGTGGACGTCACCCCTCCCGTGCATAGGATGCTAGCAGGTACTGACCTCAGGCTACCGCCACACCTGCCACTGGAGCCTTTCTGCTCCTGTCACCGAGGAGGTTGAGTCAGGGCCAGGCGTGAGCTCCGGGGCCGGTCTGTTTCCCACCCAGGCTCCGACGCCATCATCCGGCAACACAAGGCCGCCTGCCTACGGATCACGGCGCTGCTGGTGTGCGAGGAGCTGCTGTGGGTAGGCACCAGTGCCGGCGTCGTGCTCACCATGCCCACCTCGCCTAGCACCGTCAGCTGCCCGCGGGCGCCCCTCAGCCCTGCTGGCCTCGGCCAGGGACACACCGGTCACGTCCGCTTTTTGGCTGCTGTCCAGCTACCAGATGGCTTCAACCTGCTGTGCCCAACCCCACCACCTCCCCCAGACACAGGTGAGTCGGCACATCCCTCCCCAGCCCTGGGGTCCTGGGCTTTTGAATTAGGATTCCCCACTGTGCAGCCAGAAGAGATTTCAAGAAGGAGGGAAAAGGAATGTGAGGGGCCTTCGGGAAGCTCACAGAAAAATTGGAATTAAAGCATGAATTTATTTTGGTACAAACAAACAAAAAATGAAATCCAGGCATAGTTTTTCCATGAAATTTTGGAAGAGCCTGCATAAAGAGCTGGAAGTGGCAAACATTACAGATGTAGGCTACGGTGACCCCCAGATGAGATCTACCAGGGCAGTGTGTGTGTAATGTGTGTAAAATTCTGTCCAAAGAAGTATCGGGGAGGGCTGGCCCTGTGACATAGTGCTTAGGGGAGCCAGACCCACAGAGCTGACCGTGGTTCAAATCCGGCCCTCGTGCCTTGAAAAACACACTGGATACCTGTGCTTGTGTGTCCCGAGTCCTACCAGGTGGAGAAGTGGAGAGGATACTGTGACATGAACATGTCCCATGGGGGGATGCTTTCTTCTCCCTCTGTCTCCTTTCTGGCAGGCACATGTGCTCTCTGACAATTAAAAAAACAACAAAGCAGGCAAATAGTGGTTAGGGTGCTGGACTCCCACATGGCCGACCACACTTCAAGCCCTTGCCCTGGCAGCTTGAGAATCACTCTGGCACATGTGCACATATGCCCGTGGTCCCAGGAGAAGGGATTGCATCCCCCCGGGGGGTGATTTCTCACTTTCCATCTCTGTCTCTCTCCAGTGAGCACATGTGCCCTATGGCAAAACCTTTAAAAAAAAAAAAAAGAAAGAAAAAGCATTAGGAGAGACAGGCAAAGCAAGAGGGAGCATACAGCACAGAGCGTGTGTATGGGCGGCACTTCCTGTTGTACACACTGTACACGACAGGAAGCAGAATCAGGAAATGCTATACGAAGCAGGAAACGGAAATAGCACCGGCGACAGAGCATAGACCGGCATATAGGACAGGAAGTAGCGGTGAGAACTAGAGTGAAACAGCGGGAGGTGATGTATATCAAGAGCCCAACCGGAAGAGCCTCGCTTTGTCAGGACAAGAAACCACGTTCCCACCAGGAGGTAGCCGCAGGCATCTGAGGGTCGGAAGCCCGCCCAGGAACTGTCCGGGTGCAGAGAAGAGCTGAGCACCTGATGGGAAGGGTTGTTGGGAGCTGCTGGGAGAGCTATCTTCAGGAGAAGGGCACTGAGGGAGAGAGTGGGATGGCAGGGGCACTTCTGGCCCTCCCTAGAAAGCGTGAGTGGAGAGAAATCTGGCTGCCAAGACGTGGGCATTTCTTGACAGATAAGAAGTGCCTGGCACACAGAAAGTGGGCCCCGCAGGAAGTGGCATGTCCTACTTGCTGTCCTCTCGGGTGTGGGAACTCGGGCCCTGGCTGGACGACGCAGCTACCAGTTGGTCAGACTGACAGGTGCTCACCCTGCCCTAGGTCCCGAGAAGCTGCCATCTCTGGAACACCGGGACTCCCCTCGGCACCGCAGCCTGGCCTCGGCCAAGCCTAAAATGCTGGTTATCAGTGGAGGTGACGGCTACGAGGACTTCCGACTTAGCAGTGGGGGTAGCGGTGGCAGCAGCGAGACCGTGGGCCGGGATGACAGCACGAACCACCTCCTCCTATGGAGAGTGTGACCCTGTCACTGTGGCCAGACTCTCCCACCCTGCTGCCCACAGCCTACTCACCTTTTCCTAGCCACACGCTGATGGTGACAGTGTCTGTCGGGGCACCCGTGCCTGCGTGGCTCGCCCATCCCCCTGGGAGGATTCCTGCCCGGGAGCCAGGCCTCAGCCTCCTGATCTGGGCAGCACGGTGCCCCTGTCATGGCGGGCAGGGCATATGGGCTGCCCAGGACCTCTGTCCCTAGAGCTTCTACCAAAGACACGGCCGGGCCTGGGCCCCACAGGGCTGGGGAGGCCATGTGCAATATTTGGAGGGTTTTCTGGGGGCAGCAGGAAGGCGGAGGACGGAATCCTTTCCCATGTACAGTATTTATGTTCTTTTTAGACGTGTACCTTCCCGAGCACTTATTTATGCAATGACCTGGGGCCAGGGTATGGCTTGAGGAAATGACAGGATATGAAAAGAAAAAAAAAAAAATACTAGCCCAGCCCTGTGGGCCCCTCTGGGACCCTAAGCAAGCCTTTCTGGAGGTGTGTCCCACACCCTACCCTACGTCCGTGCACACACACACTGCATGTCCCGGGCGCTAGGACTGCCCCGTAACATACGCTTTTCAAGGCCCTGTCCCTACTGGACCGCCTGCCCTCCACTGCAGAATGAGTGCCCTCCACTGTCAGGGGACAGTGGCTCTCCCCTGGGGGCCTCCCGGGACTTGCATTTCCCCGTTGTTGGCAGTGCCTTCCTTCAGTGATGTCCTTTGGGAATGCTTGGTAGGGCCTCGGGCAGGGTGCCCTTGTGGCCTTACTAGGGAGGAGGGAAGGGTCCTCGCCATCCCCGCGTCACCCCCAGCCCCCACCTCCCTGTGTCTCATGCACTGGCACATATGGTCACCTTGGGGCTTGGGCCAAGGAGCCCCCTCATTCTGACCACTGAGTCCCTCTCTTCATACCCCCTCCTGCGGGGGCAGCTCCTACAGGAAGGCCCTCCAAAGCTGAGGGGCAGGACCTGGCTTATCGGCTGGGAGGGCTCCCACCTAGGGGGCAGCGTCCCCCTCCCCGACTGCAGGGAGCCACCCTGACCCTCAGCCCCCTCGCTTCTTCAGCTACAACCCCAAAGGTCTGGTTTCAGGTGGGCTTTGTTTTGTTCTGTTTGGGTTTGTTTTTGTTTGGGGTGGGTGGGTCATTGCGGTCTTAGATTATGTTTCTCTTGCTACCAAACCGTCATGTATTAACTCTCCTTGAAAATGAAGTGTAAAGAGTCAATAAATACAAACACCAAATGACCATTCCCTGTTAGTGGCCCTAGCAGCCTCCTGACCACAGCCTCAGAGCTCTGCCTCCCAGCCACACCCCTCCGCCCACCCACTCACAGGGCAGGGGGGGCCCAGGAATGCGCTGGGATGGAGAGGCTGCACTTCCTAGCTGCGTGTTCTGTGCTGGTTGCCGCGTGTGTTGGCTACAGTTTCCTCCTCAAGAAAAGAGAGGTCGTGCTAGTCCCGGCCCCGGGCTCTAGAACCAGGGCTACATGTGAGCGCTCCTTACAGATGGCGTGCAGTGAAAGGCGTCAGACATACACTGTGTGGTGCGAAAATTATGTGCGTCCAGTTTACGGATCAGTCGAGAGCTGGATCAGTAGGTCTGGGATGGGGCTTGATCCCAAACCGACACGCGCCACAAGTAAAGGAGGCACCAGTCAGCCGGCCTAGGCTCCTCCAGGAAACGGCTTCCAGCAAAGCCTCCTGCTGGGGACCCTGGTGACGTCCAGGGGGAGCCCAGGCTTTGGAGCAGGGCAGGAACCCCAGTCTGCCTGACTTCACGAAATCAGACATGAGCATGCCAAGGGCCAGCATCGTGGGGCTGTCCGTGCGGGGACAGTGGCTTCACACCACCACGGTCCCCCTGCAGAGTGGAGATGACCGCTAGAAAAGGGCAGACCATGCCATGGCTCCGCCGAGCACGAATGAGTGGTAGGTTGACTCAAGAAGGCCTTCTGAAAGGGAGTGTGCGCTCATGTTTTCCAAATGGGCACACATCCCGGGGCTGCTGGGTCCTCCACACCATAGAACATGCACGACTGCTCCCCCCTCGCATCATTTCCCTGCGGGGAGTGCTGCAGGCCTTACAGGAAACGAGGTATGCATGGGTAAGAGGCCACATTCGTGCGGGATTTATGATGAAACAAAGCATTTGAAGGAGCGCAGCCTTTTCAGACCTCGTCTGACATTGCGGCTTTGCTGCTAACTAGCTTATATGACTCTGGACACTCTGTCTCCACTCTGAGCCTCCGTTTGCTCATCTGTAAAAGGGGCTGATAATCCCGTCCCCCACAGGCCTGTGGCTCTGTGTGCACAGGTGTTTGGATTGCAAGGCAGTAATTCATTCTGCCCTGCAACGAAAGGGGTGCTTATCAGTGGAGACATGGTAGCAGGTATGTATCAGAGGGCACGGGGGCCCTGACATTGGCCTCCATCTCAGGACCTCTGGCCTCCTGCCTCCTCATGTCTCTGGCTGCTCCCTCTGCCAGCCAACCTCTGGGCAGACATTTCAGCACCAAATCCCCAAGGCTGCATCCTCACCCTTGCCAGCCCACTGTTACGGAATGCTACACCCTGCGTGCAGCTGCCTGGGTCAGGTGTGCAACCTGGGACAGCTGTGGGCTGGCAGAAACAAGCCCAGGGGCCGCACTGTGAGAATCAACTCCTCTAGAGAGAGCATGGGCCTCAGCATTGGCTGTAGGTTCTAGTTACCTGGGGTCCCAGGGCAATCCCAAACCAATTAAGTCAGAATTCTGTGGGTAGGACACAGGTATCAGGGATTTTTAGGGATCTTTCCACTGCAGTATCGCATTTGTACAGAAAAGCAGATAAATTCTGATGGTGCGGCTTTATGCCTTCATAAAGTGAACGCACCCTGAGGGCAGGCTGGTCTGTTCTTTGTTCTACCCGCGGGCCTGCTGCAGGCCTGACGCACAGTCAGTGCTTAATAAATATGCTTTGGATTAACCTGGAGATTTGGTTGCAGTCCAACCCTCGGTCTATATGCCACAAAATCCTAGCCTGGCTTCCATTTCTTGCCCGTGCACTGCAAACCAGGAACATGGATCATCTCCACCCCAGCTGTGGTCCTGGGAGGCTGGTGCCTTCTCTTCCCGAGGAGGAAACGGGTTCAGAGGGGTAAATGTCATCCTCGCGGTCATTCACCTACTGAGCAGCAGAAACTGGATTCCCATCCAATCTGCGTGCCCAGGTCCTCAGGCCTCCTGGAGGAGGGAAGGTGACCATGCAGGGGAGGGGGAACAGGAGAGATGGCCGGGGCAGCCAGAGCCATGTCCAGTACTCACGAGGCTCATCCTTAGACAAGCCCTGGGAAGGGAGCCCTGACCGAAGAGTGGAGAGTCATTGAAGACCATCTAAAAACCTTCAAAGGGGTTTCCCTGGTGATCCCTTGGGCTTGGGACAGAGGGCAGGGTTTAGCAAGACCATCTACCTTAAGGGGAAGATGAGGCCCAGAGAGGGACAGGGACTTAGCTGAGGTCGCGCAGTAAGGCAGCATTGAGGCTGTTGGGAGTGGGGGGGAGAACTCAGGCAGGAAGTTTTCCTGTGGTTAGAAATGTCAGGAAAGGGAACCAGCAGTTAGTGTAATGGCTATGTTGCTGGACTCCCACGTAGTCGGCCGCATTTCACGTCCAGGACCCGATGGCTTAAAACTCAATGCCGGGCACGTGTGCATGCGTGCCCAACATCCCGAGTGGAGAATGTAGGAGAAGGGATTGCGGCGTGACCATCCCCATTGGGAGTGATTTCTCGCTTTCTGTCTCTATGTCTCTCTCTGTCTGTCTGGCGAGCGCATGCGCCCTATAGTGAAAATCGCTCCAAAAAAAAAAAAAAAAGAAGAAATGTCAGGAAATGATCAGAAATGTCAGGAGACACAGAAGCTTACGTTAGCTGGCCTCCGGGAGTCCCATCACATACCTCGAACCAGCCCCAGCACAAGGGCTTAGCAGAAGGAACAGCAAGTCTGGCTAAGGCTCTTAGACCTTCTGGGGAGGGGCTGGAGGACCCACGGGTCTGAACTCAAGCTCCAGCCCCTGGCCTCTCTTCACTGTGTGACTCTGGACAAGTGTCTTCCCCTCTCTGGACCCAGACGACCTCTGAGAGCCCTTCGCATGCCTTGTAGGAGTGCCAAACACCACGTCTCTCTGTCCTCACAGACCTTAAGCCACGAGCCAGGTTGCAGGAAGCGGCCGGGAAAGTGCTATTTTGGGCTCAATTATGGCCTCTGAGGAGCCTTCCTGGCAGAGGAAAGTGAATGGGCATCCCAAGCTGGGTCAGGGATAGACCACAGGGCTGGGGAGAAAGATGGCGGGCAGGCATCAGGCATGGGTGGGGCAGTGCCCCAATGGTGGGCTGCAGGAAGGAGCGAGCTGCACTGAGGGAAGGCAGGCAGGGAGCAGGTTGGGGTTCCCCTGTCCAGTGATCTGGAAGGAGCTGGCTTTGACCACACAGCCTGGCAATGGCAGAACGAGGACTTGACCTTTATCTGTGTGACATCAAAGCATGTGTCCCTCCATTCCCCCCAGATCTTTCTCTTCCAGGCTCCCTAATCTCCAGTGCCTTTCTAGACAAGCCTTTGCACCCCCAAGCTCTTGACCTGCTCATGCTCTGGATCTAGAGGGCAGTTAGACTGCAAGGTGGACCTGGGCAGTCCTCAGGTTCCCCACCTGATCCCACCATGGGACTAAGAGGACCCCAAACCTGCCTTCTTGAGCATCAGTCAGGTGACCAGGAGGCCCCAACCCTGGGAAGGAAATAACTCAGAGTATTAGACCTCCCATGAGGGGCCGGTGAGGACAGGGTCAAAGACTTCAGACCTCAACCCCAGACCCAGGCCGGGGTCTGCACCTGAGTGTGGGTAAACTTTGTGATCAGGCTTAGCCCCAGTTTAGCACTTGCTTGGCCCAGGCTGACCCCATGCTGGCCCCCTAACCCCAGCTTCTCCTTAGACTGAGCCCCCCTTCCCCAGGAGCTAAGGCAGACACAGGGCAGTGGTGCACCTTCCACAGGTCGGATCTGGCCTGCTGGGATTCGCCCAGGACGGAGCACTGCCATGAAGTCTGAGAGTTGCCTCTTCCAGTTTGCCCTTCTGTGTGGG